CAAAGTCTCTCATTTTTCCGGATGTCAATTTAGCATAGGTGTATGAAGCTGTCAACTCTCCTGCGTCCTACTTCCTGTGATTCGTAATTATGATAAACGAAGTAATGGGATTTTGGTAACAACGTCTAAGGTAGTAATGTTTTGCACATCTTTCCTTACATTACAAGGTTGTTTTGTTTAATGAAACTACTTTAGTGACATCCACACTACCATCTGATAAGCTAGCATAATCAGTCCGAGAATTACGTACTTGGCGCTGAGCGGGACGAATTCGTAGGGCTGCGCTAGCGAGGCGCGCTGAATCACACTACGCAATTTGAGTCGTCTTGTGCAGTCCCTTGTGGTGTCATCTAATACCTTTGCCAAAAAATCACTAGAAAAAAGTGCAGGAAAACCATGCATGTGGGTTTGAACTATGCTCTTCCCCCCTTTTTTAATTTTTTCTGCCGAGGATTCGGAAATCGATAGGGGTGCAGACTATGTCTGCGTATGCTACAGCAAGGGCATCGTTTTTTTTGCACCCGAGATAAACTCCTCCCCCGTGGCGCAATGAAAAAAAGGCAAACAGGACATCGGAAATCGGCTTAGATCCCTCCCTCTGTTGATGCTATCGCGGCTATTGGTCGTGTTGGTATTGTATGAGTCACGCTACTAACTCAGTAACAGAGGCGAAGTGTGTGATGCTAGCGCAAGATAAGAGCGGAAAGCGCGCACACGAGGGCGCGCTTACCACCATGCTGTCAGCTCAATTCGTCGTCTTCGTCGTCGTAGCCCTAGTCCCGGCCGGTTTATTCATTCTAGCAAGGAAACGAGTAGAGCAGCAGCAGAAAGGGGTGCCAATCTTTGTGTACACAAAACACAAACCTACACATCAGCCAATCCGCCTACACTTCCCCAGAGGCCACATTTTTGAGTGGCAATTTTTTTTTGAGAAATAGTTGCATTTATCTAATTTCTCAATTTTCTACCCACCAATTGAGATGGGGAGGCATTTTCCAACCTAAAAGTTGACATGTGAAGTTTTGTTGTCATTTTGACGTTTTTCTCCCATGCCAACGGCAATCTTTCCTCTTCAAATTATCCAAATAAAGTGACAATTGTCAATGGAGATTCTCAAAGCAGACTATAGTGCATGTGTTCACTAAGTACGAAATGCCCGGTATTCTTTAATTGCATCCACAAATTTATTCCATTCTACCTACTACAAAAAATAATTCTAATCTCTTAAACCCCTATTTTCTTATAAAATACCCTCAAAATGAGTTCTTTTTTAAAACTCATCCTCCTTCTCTTGGTACAATAGTTTAGTGAAGAGTCCTTCAGCAGAAGTTTGAGCATTGTTGTTCAGCTCACCCACCATCCATTCGTTTGGCTGATCACGCATTTGGCCGATTACAGATGAGACAAAGCTTTTGAAACCAAGGAGATGATTTAGTAAGAGGAGTAATACTAGTTTTGGGCAGCCAGCATCAATTAGGGTCAATTCTGCCATTCAAGTTCCACACAAATAATGCTATTCAAAAGGCTGGATAGAGGATGACAAAATTATGCCACTGGTAAGTTCAGTTTACATTTTATAAACAATTGGACTGTTTAGGCATGGCGCGAATCAGTCGAGCTTCCAGTTTTAAATGAGGCCTCTTCTACTTTCTGATCAAACACCCTCCACCTTGGGTAAGGTTACTTCAACTTGCATTTGTTTGCCAACCCCTAAATTTACTCATTTTTATTTCACTTAAGTAATTTTTTTTAAAATGAACGCTAATTTTATTAGCTGTAAATGTTCCCTTCCATCCCGTTTTAAAGCGAGATTCGAAAAAAATTTACTCACTCTAATTACAAACTTAAATGTGTGCTATTGTTAATTAAAGAGTTGAGATTTAAAAAACACATTTTTGGCCTTAATAACACATAATCTTTTACTCCCTCATTCTTTCTCTCCCTCGCTCTCGCCCTCACCCCCTCCACACAGAGTCTAATGAAATTGGGGGATGGCAGTAGGCTGCTAAAAATAAACGGCATAAACAACTCAACACTGAAGAACGACGATTGCTAAACGATACATTCGCTTGGGGAGAGGAAGAATAATTAGAAAAAGGAGGTGGTTGATACAAATTTACCGTTTGAATGCAGATGCAGCAAGCGTTCTTTAATTAGCCGACGAAATCGCCAGATGAAAGCTCCATCCTTGGGGTGATTTGCTATGATAAAAAGAAAGCCATACAGCCCCTAGTGTAAATTTGTACTTCTCCACCCGAAAATGAGGCAATTCAAATATAGGCGATGTTTAAGCATTCAAAGGCAATAAGATGCTTGAACATTCCTACCTGACAACAGTATATCATTTCGAGAAGCAAAGGCATGAGCTAATATAGGCATCGATGGTCACCTGCATAAATTCTCAGGCTTCAAGCGAGTGAGCATCTGCTGCTTTCCCACACCAAGCAAAGTAGCAATGGGACCTACAAGTCTGGCACTGAAAAGGCATTAAAGAGATGACATCTTTTGATTTGCCTCCATGGCAATTAAGGCGGCACGTAAAAAAACTGTTTTGCAGAGTTTTCATGTGAACCTGGCATCAATACTGGAACGAGTACATAAAACACCTACTTCAGCATAAATATTATGGCGTACCGTATAGACATATAAGCTATTGGTTATCAATTTTGAACGGGAGACTGGTGTAGAAAAGGGCATTAGGAAGTCAGTGAGCTTTATAGATTTCGAGCTATCTATGCAGTTTCCTGTTAGACTGATTAATAGACACAAGCTGTAAAAATTGCATTCGTCTCAGAAACCACTTCTTGTAGCACAACTTCGAATGCGCATTACCTCGTTAGTTGTTTGGGGGGGTGAATTTGCAAATAATTAATGAGGAACAGCGAGAAATTGCACGCTACTGATTGTTTGTTAGTAAAAGATCGATTACACTTTCAGTTATTGGTGAAGGCAACGCAGTGAGCCGGATCAGTTCAATTTGTTAGTTCAAATTTTTGTTGGCCTATATTTACAATCAGAAGCCATCATCATGTTCAATGACATACCTGAGACTGATGTAGCTATGGACGACAAACAAAATGTTGTTTTTAAGGCAATCAAGGCCTCTTCATATTTTCAATGATAGCATAAGGCCCAAAATAACTAAAGCTTGCGATTTACAGTTCGCTACCATAAAAAACCATTAAATTATCATGGTTGTTGGGGCGGGTAATTCTGAATAATATAGAAGACGACTAATTTTGAGCAAAGGTGGAGGAATCAAAAGATCGTAATTCGAGCGAAACGAAGCCTTTAGCTAAAGCATCACATAATAAATAAAATACTTATTCGTAAGATTAAAGCAAATCATTGCGTGGTAGTAAAGGAAATCTACACACAGACGCTTTAGGTACGCTTAAATTGGTGTTGCTACAATCAAAGAGACACGAGCGATCGAGGCACCGTTTGAATTGCATGCACAAAATTTTTTAACACCCTACGATGATGTAAAGATAAGAAAATAGGCGCGAGGATTGATAATACCTCCAAAACAGTACACCCGATTCAGGTGGAATTATTTTCCATATTTGCAGGCAAAAACGGAACCGGCGTCTGTTAACTTCCCCATAAAGAGAATATTTGCCGGTTCTGTCAGGTTTTATTGCAGAAAGAGCAGCATTACAATGATTCATGGTGGGTTGCGCAATTTTCGCAACTGAATGGAGATTTTCTCTCAAGATAGTACCATTGTACGAAACTGACGATTCAACTCGAATATCCCAAATTGCTGCATCTGCCACTTGAAGTCACCGTACATCAGGCTGCAAGCAATTCGGTGGACGATACAAGTAATCATGGCCCATGCGTACCCATATTTATGGATGTTTAAAACAGATAATAAACAGCTTTTAAAGCAACAGAAATAGCCGAAAACAAGAAAAATCTATTTGATAAAACCAGGGACTACAGAAAAAGGGATTAAATTTTTGCTGTTTAAGTAGAATCAAAATGTCCTGCCTGTCATGACAAGTAAAGAAAAATGGACTATCTGTATGGTAAGAAGTGCTTCATTTCCACTTGGAAACACAATAAAGTTATGATTACGAAGGGGACGTTAATCAAAAATGCTCCCCGAGCATGTGTTAAAATATGAATTTTAAAGGATGATAAATCTAAATATCTGTGTCGTTCATCTACCCTGTTAGGTGTGAATTCCAGGAACACGTAAATAAATAGGTGAAAAACATCTTTAAAGGTATGTAACAGTGAAAATCAGTTATTTATACTTTACAAAGGTTTAATTTAGAGGCTCATGAAAGCTCAGACGCCTTACTTGTCAGGTAACTACATGAATCACAAAGCCTACTCCTTGAGCAGTCTCTTAATGTACTACGTTGGTTGTTTGTTTAACCTTTGGTGAAGGGACCACTTAGGCGATGCGACATGAGCCTCTGCCGGGTGGCATGGACTTCGAGTCATGTCATTAGCGCTCTAGCCCTTCTGTATGTCGACAATACACATTCAGTCCAAGTATTGTTTTCGTTCGTTATCAGGGAAGTCAAAGGGTGATGAAATCAAACACGACTTTAAAGGATATCTATCCTGATTTCTACTGCTGGATTATAAACCTTAGTGGAGCGAAAGAAGCACATATGCTAAAAATGGGAAAATCTATGCCATTGCTTTCAAAAGAGCGGAAAATAAAGTCTACTTTTGGCAGCTACCTTAGTCCCGTGGTCTGCAGAAGCGATACTAGCCTTGAACCATCTAAAAAGTTTGGTTATGGAGTTGCCCATTGTACTTCTATGAAACTATCAAATATGTGAACCAGTGATACCTTCTCAACTTCTTTACTATTTGGTTAGAATCCAGGTAGTGGGCATGGCTTGGCAGGTCTGAAATGGGAACAATGTGGCGAGGAAAAGTAAACGCGAATCCCTTCTCCAAGGAACTATGTTTAATCCTGTCCTTTGTTACGTGTCTCTGCTTTAAGGTCAGTGTTCGTATGGTTAGCGATAGACATGAGCGTAGGGCAGCAAATTTCCTCGTCTCTCAATATGATTTCCAAACGGGACGAAACTCCAGATCTGGTTGAACTGCCGTCAAGTATTTTTCCGGTTGCATGGGAATTTGTCGAAGGGAACGGTTGGCTTTTGGGTGCACTTTACACCACTGGTTACGTCATGGCAGCTGTCGCAGGAAGTGACCAAGGGGAGCGCTGGGACGACGCTCGAAATAAGGGAAGGGGGTGGTTGATTGCGTAACTTTCGGATTTGGTGTAGGGTCCACTTAGGCGCTCCTTCACTGTACCTTTGCCATAAGGGCTGGTCTCTGAATCATGCCACTGAATCCGAACCCTTGTAAGTCGAATTTACATATAATGACCTCAATGCTCTTCACAGCAGTTTCGGGCCGCTAGATTTTGGAATTCCATTAACTTTTAGCCCGTTAATGAATAGATAGTCCACCAACTAAGTAAGATACCTAGGTTGGAACCCAAATAAATCACAGAGAACTAGCAAAAGTCAATTTTTTGCCTTCTCAAAATACTTACTAACGCATATAACAGTCGAGCAAATATTAAACAAAAAAACTCTTTATTTAAAATAACAGAAATAACCAATAAGGACTGGGAAGGAGTAGACTTTTCATGAAGCGAAATTCAGTTAAGTAATGCAAATGGGATTTCTCATGCTCTTTTTTCTCTTCAAATACCCCAATTCTCCTATTAAAACACTTTACCAAAATATTCTTTAATTTTTTAAAAGAATAAATAAACATAACCTTATCGTGTTAATGGGAAAGGTACAAACCAAAAGAGCAAAGAAAAAGGAATTAAAATATTTTGTCAGAAATTTCGTTTAGATAATGGTCTCTTTCCAAACCACATCCCCAGTCATAAGACCATTACCACACAGGGGCATTATCACACCTGCATCAATCCAACATTTTGGATATGCAAACCCTTAAGCGTTACGCCTGTGATTAATGCCCCTTCCACAAGCACCAAAGACAAAATTATTTATCTACGCTTTTAGCAAAAAAGTTTTTTTTATCTGCATTGCTTTTTTGCCAGATTGAAGTATGGCGCCTGCCTCTACTTACCCAAACGAGGCTAAAAACACGTCCTATCTCCCTATTAAGGGCCGATGATGTCACGCCTCCCATTGGCCAATCACATGAGTCGAGGACTTCTCATTGGTGGTGATGTGCTTCCAGTGGCCCGGAGGTGGCCATTTGATCTCACCACCTTCGTGGGCTTCCGACGGTCCCTTTAATGAGCACGGCCCATTCACTTGAGCATTCAATCACATGCGCATAAGACTGTAAGTCTGCCCAAACTTGCCTAACCTTACCTCCCTTTTTTATTGTCTCAAATTGCATGAATCTAATAAAGGTGAGGGAATAAGTTTGCTCGTTTTAATAGCGGAATCTAGGTTAGTGTAGAAGACTTTATTCGTTGACAGGGGGAATGCAAAGCAGATGCGATACTCACTAATATAAACGGTTGCCTTACGAATTATCTCAGGTCCTTGGAGAGACGTTCCAAATGGAGCACAAACTTCCTTGATTACATGATACAAGCTTAAAAATACGACCTTTTTTCTGCAAACGTCTGTTTCCGTCATCTAAAGTAACTCCAAACTACCTCCTAGTTGGTCCATTACGTAGTTAATAAAGTAGGCACCGAAATCCCGGAAGGTATTATGAATACCTGAAAAAATAATCTAAGACCTAATTTATTATCGGATGACCAACTAAAACGGTTTCAAGAGGTTCTTTTGCTTTTATTTTCTTTTGTTAACAAGGCCAAATAAGAGAGATATGTTTAGTGAAAAAAGAGCATCATCCACCCTCACTTGCATGTTACGACATCAATTTTGTCACGCTATAATCAAAATTTAACTTGACAAGGGGCTTTGCAGCTCGCTTAGTCACTTGACACCGATATTGCACATGGTACGAACAAGCCATTTGGAGGAAAAAAATGGGGGCTTGTGAAATATCTATCTTCAGAAAAAATCGACTTTCAAAAGTTCAAGCCCAGCTATCACACTGAAATGCCAGCCTTCATTGCTAGTTGTGGTAAAGGCTACACGCAAATTTTTTGTACCTGTACTTTTCCACAACTTGAACAGCTTCCCGACTAATAAGTCTCAAAGAACACTCATTTATCTGTGAGCTTCCGCGTTTAATTTCTTATTTACGACAAAAGGCCAGAGTAGAAAAGCTCGGAAACAGCAATGAAAGTTAACAAAGTTAGATGCTTTTGGCATCGTTTCCTTAATGACAGAGTTGAGCATCTAGGAGCAAATCAAAGAGCTAGCAAATTTTATTTCTGGTCCAAAAAGACATCTTATTGCCTGATTTACCCAATTATCTGGGTGTTCAATGGTACCGCCTCGCTAATAATGCAGAGGTGAAGATAAGGACAAGCCATGTTATAGGTTTTAGAACTCATTTGATTCGCTTTTCTGTTTACCAATAATTGCTTTTGTCTATACTTCTAGACCAGCATGACGGACGTGACTTGAGTTTCTTTGTTTGGATTTACTTTAAGTAGAAATTATACAAACCCAAGTTTGTGCTATTGTAATTAGATGAAAATGATGTTCATCGTGTAGGTCAATGATTGCTTTTCTCCGCTTCAAAGAAAAGCGAGTTTCGGCATGCCTACAGACGGAGAAAGCCGACTATTTTGTGAGCAAATAAAGTTGGAAAATATGAGAGATGCTTTACCGTAGATCAAGTGGCTGCTATGAGGACCAAGGCCTGCATCGATAACCTTGGGCAGTTGAGAAGATTTTCGCTTACCACTTTATGACCCAATTTATAGCGGTACTTGTAGAATTCTTATCATGCATTTTATGAAGAATGTCCAGTCCTTGGGTAAAGCCTACGCGCACTTAGCATGGAGGACTGATAAGAGCCTCTTTCAATAGCTCTAGCTAACGCTACACCATTCAGTACTATTTACACAAGACCGCCTAATAGCCATCCCATTTACTTGCTACCAAAGGTATGCCACTTCCACAGGTTGGAGAGAAATAAATACCTTTTAGTAGAGCGCCTATTGAAGGGTTTCAAAAGTGATGCAAAAGTCCGGACAGTAGGGATTTTCCCCTTCTTAAAGATGGGCGTAGATGATATAATACCATTTTAAGCTTTACAACTCTTCAAGACTTTTCTGTTATTTTTAACTGGTGTAGATAATACTTCTCTTTCTAATAGAGGAGCGCTATGACTATGATCAAGTTGTAAGGTAAAATACAAACAATATGGATGTCGATTTTGGACTTTCTGGTCCGTTGATGATACCGAATCCCACCATACGCATCCATTAAAAACTCGTGCCACTATTACTGGATACGTAAGTCAGAGGCTGCTGAAATAGGATTTTAAAAAGGCGATTAATCAATTAGCTTAAATAACAAATCAACTTTTGTGCTTAGATTTTACCCTAACATTAAGCGGTACAGTTTTCTTTCTAGATCAGCCACAGTAGAAGTGCTGATCACTCTGGTCATTCTATGCCTACTCATTTTCCGAATTTTTGTTTGGTGGAGAGCAGAGGGAACTCAAGGGAAATCGACTTTTAAAGAAGAAGAAATTTCAATTCAAGACTCTGGACAGGAGGCATCATTTCCCTCCCTCACCTTTTGCAACGCCAATCCTCTGAGGTGAGTGAGCATCGAAACAATTAGTGGGGAAAAGGGAAAAAGAAGAGAAGAAACATTCTTCATGCGGTCACGCTGGTTGAGCAGAAATCATTTCCATGGCTGATCTTCTGAGGCTCGGCTGCATGCTAAATTTTATCCCATTTTAAGGGAAAAAACACCATTTTGAGAGAGCTTTTCTCCCTTTTTTCTCATGCGTGAAGCAGCTGCATTGTTGATGGTTGAAGAAATCAGGAAATCAAAACAAACATTTTTTTCCTGACTCCTCATAAGCAAGTAAAGTGATCTTTGTCAGAATACTTTCAAAGAAATTACAAACTTACACAAGAGTATTAACGATCCAAAAGGCAAAAATTGGGGTCAAAAAATGTGGGAAGAAGGTAAAAAATATTAAATTACAAATTAAAAATAAAATGAATTAATTTAGTGGCCATTGAGATATTTGCATTGCAGTGCTAACCCAACCTTTCGCATAGGTTGCACGATGTTCTACCTAATCACGCTGTCTAGATGAATGCCATTGGTGTGCCGCCACCCAGCTCACTCATTAGTTCACTTTTCAATTTAAACAAAGGCTACTAGAAGAAATGTTTGGTTTGGCCGGTCCCGCTACTTTTGTTCGCAACGGTTAGTTTAAGCGTCGCAAGAAGTAACTAAACGCCCCCACCTACTCAATTTACCATAGATAGCAAAGCTCAAAACACAACATGGTTCTAAAAAGATACCACTCATGCTAACCTTATTATGCCAATCCAAACAGTTAAAGCTAAAAAAAGGACAGTATCATGCAGCGTCCATTCACAATGAATCAGGAATCTGTGTTTCATTTGCAGTCCACATATCAAAAAAATTGGCTTATTAAATCCGTAGCTATGTGGCGGAGGACTAATGCCTTGTGCTCATTCGGGTGTTATTTTGCCACCACATGGAGGGATGGAGGTGAGGTGATGTATTTTAATTGTTTCATTTCGCTCATCCCTTGAACTTTGAAAACTTAACAAATTAAAACTCATATTCGGTCGGTTGGAAAGAAAAAAGTACATCGAGCGCATAAAAACAATCCCGAATAGCTTAATAGCATTAAAAAGAATGGAAAAGAGATATAATTTGGGGTGCTTGCTATATATAAGATGAAGGGAAATTCTGATACATAGGATAAATTTGCCTACTTCGTAAATATGTCTAACTACAATCAGCGCCATATGGTTTGCTTAGAGAGTTGTATGGGTAATAAAAATAATTAAAAAAAGCGACATCAAAGTCACAAAAGATTTGTAACAGACTTGCTTATAGCTACTTGTCACTTAGTAAGATTGGAGCTGTACCGCCCCTCCCCGAGTTATTCCTGGTGACCTAGTAAAGCAACAGAATACAGAAGAAGAAGAAGAAGAAGAAGAAGAAGAAAAGAAGAAGAAGGGGTTTTTACTAGTGCAAGAAGGGTTGCAGGGACTGTGACGATTAGGGCGGACGCCTTACTGCCCCATCAGGAAGCTGAAAGGAGCACTTCAAATTCTTGATGTACAAATACGAGTAGCCCTTCAAATTTCTAACAAACGCAGCAAAATAAGTCTACACGATCCCTCACCGTAGCATGAAAAGATGGCATGATCAAACCTATCAAAATCTGATGGAGCAGTAGCATTGTGTCGGATTGGATTTGTGACGTGGTCTCGTGTGATTTGAAGGTTAAGCTACAAACTGTGCTTTTATTTGCAGAGCAACAGCTCTCTACTCAGCGGGACTTTACGACAAGGTTTCTCAGGCTGTACAGGACCCAAGGTTTACTTTGCAAGATCTTGACTTCTCCAATGAGCAGCTTCAACAATACGCACATAGTATATTCAGTATGCTCAAACGGTTTGTCCAAAGTTACGATTTGCCACTTATTAGCATGAATTCATCTAAGTAGGTAATCTGGATTTCGTTTTTGTCCACTTTTGCAGGTGCAAGCTAAATAATGCCGAGTGCAACGCCCAGAGTTTTGAATCGGTAAGAACAAAGCACGGAATGTGTTTTCAGCTGCGAATTCCGAGGCAAAGTGAGTGTAATTGCGTTGTGGTGACCGTTAGTTATCATGACTCAGTGGTTTCCATTATTTATGAGTAGAAACTACTGCCTCTTATTACTTGTGTTAAGAAGCATTTAGTCGGTAGTATGAGGGAGAACTCAATGCAAAGCTTTGTACTCCAAGTTTGGCTATTTCAATCAACGGTCAGCCAAGTTATTAAAACGCTTATTTTTACTTCTGCAATAAATATCCTTTGTCAGTAAAATGACTGCAAATTGAGACAATGCTAGTGGGCTACATAATTTCGTGACGTAAATTTCCGAAGAACTAATATTAATGTACTTTCTTGAGGGAAGTTTACTTAATCTCGGAATGCCAGGGAGAATTAGTGACTTTGATTTGCAGGATAAATGATGAATAAAACAGATATCAAAGAAAGAATGGATTTTAGACCTTAATTATAAATTCTTTTACCGGAAATGAACTTTTGCGAATGCTAATTAGCATGAAGCTTAGTTTAAATAACCTCTGCCTAATTAAAGAGCTTTCACCCCATTGTTCTTCCAAAATTACAGTAATTACAGGAAATATCAAAGTGAATGAAATGCGTGTTTAATTAAATAAGGTGAAAAGTAGAGGTGAGACTAAAGGCCCACTCTGGGTGTAGACATTCCTATCCCAATGAATTAAGGGATGGAAGGGGAATTCACGCGGTGCTGTAAACACACAATTGGCGTTAGATTGATGCAACCTTCCGCCTAACATAGGTACCACCGGCTTTAATAACAATAACCACTGTGTTAAAAAAGTCGCATTAACTTTTTAAGAAAATTATCAATGCTTAGAAGGAGAAACGTCCGAGACCTACGATCGCAAAGTTACTTTTGAGACTCATTGTTCACTAGCTTACAGGAAACAAATAGGAGACCTTATTAGCCAGCCATAGGCCAAAGACTTAATGAAAGAAGGCCTAACGTCTTGAACTAACTTTAAAAGAATCTGCTCAAGCTTGACCTCTTTGTCGAAGGCTTCGCGGTAAATGCTCCCGCCTTTCCGAAGAATACTCCTGGAATTCGCATGTGCTTTTGCGCATGTTGTTCCAATGATTGTCTTCCCTGCATATGGAATCACCAACAAGGCGTTCCAGAATTCGATGACTATTTTTAATTACTCTGCATTTCAAAAAGTATTCCAGCTCACTTCTGAATAGTCTTATCAAAAAAATGAGCTTCAGGCAAAGATATTCCACATTTTGAATTGCTTATAAATAGTAAACTCTGCGCGTTACATTTGTTCCCAGACAAATAAGACACTTCTTTACTTACCTCTGGCCAACATTATCAGAGACACATTCATTTGAATCGGCTACAGTGTACCCTAATAAATGGTGTCTGGGCTATTTTACCTCGTAGGCACTACTCTAGTCGTAAGCAAACTGATCCTGTAATTTCGCACCGACTTTCGGTAGTCCTATTTTCGTAAATTTTGTGCTAACATAGAGGACAGAGTGTTTCGAAATCCTCCTTTTAATTCGCAAAACCTACCTCTCTGTGTAATGAATGCTCTAATTCACATAAAACTACACAGAAGACCCCAATACAGATTCCTATGCTTGTGAAAATTGCGGCAGTCACAGTAATTTTGCGTTAAACTTGATTAAAAAGCTCAAATTTGGCGCTTTTTCTAATTTTAATGTCCAAAATTAGTCTGCGGTATGTTTGGAGGGGAAATTATTTTTGCTTCCCTTTACAGAACAAACTCATCTCGAGATGATTTTAGACCCCGAGGAGAGTGAATATGTTCTTCCAAACGACGGGTTTACGGGCTTTTTGATCGCCCTCAACTGTTCCACCAGCGATCAGAGCGAGTTCTTCATTGGCAGCGGATTTCACAACATGATTCGCATTTCATCTGCGGTAGGTAGGACTCAAAGCTTGCGCCATTGCAGTTGCCTTGTATTGAGAAGTAATTCAAATTTTTTTGTACGTTTCCCTTTAAGGCTCCTCATAACGGCGTGGCATGTAAGTTGCTGCCTCTGTTGTCACTTTGCTATTGCCTAAGTCTAAAATAGAATACAGCTACCTTATAAGGCCAAAACACTTGCGGCTTCCTGGAATGAGGGGCTGATTGGAAGTTACTTGTCTTTGTTGGTCAGCGTTTCACTTAAACTCGAGCCATTAACGCTTGCATTATCAAAACCTCCCACACCTGATCCCGGGTTTCTCATCCAAACCTAGTGTAACAAAGAGGTGACCCTTGTCCATATTATCCTATAGTACGTAATTACTATGCTTTTAAACAAATTGAAAATGGTTTAAGAATATTCTTAGTATATGGATACTTGCATCACTCAACTTTTGAATGACATTAAAATTGGTCACTTAAGTGGTGTAAGCTTGTGGTAGAAATAAAGAAGGACTGAAGATTCTGAGTTTCCTAGCTCAGACATTGGTAATTCGATAGTCATCGGAAATAGAGTGTTTGGTTTACCGGATCACTGCTTTAACTTATCATTCAATCAAAAGGAGTTTTTTTGCCACTGTACCTGGTGAGAGCTTCCAATCCTCAATTGCAATGACGGAGTTATTTTTCTACGCAATGCCGAAACTGCCCCGGCCTGGTGACGTATTTAGGGTCACCCATATGTCACATGGCTTCTCCATTAGTTTATGGTGACTAAATGCACCTAGCTTTGTTTTAACCTTGTAAGCCGAAGTTCAAATGGTAAAAACAGCGTCTACAGCACTCAGGAGGATTGTGAAACAGCGATTGGAGCCTAAAAGGTAGTACTCCACGCAGTTGCCCACTTGATTACTGGCGGCACTGTCAAACAATTCTGGCCCATATTGTTGGTGTTTGGGAGAACAATAAGAACTTTTCCGGAGTGAATAATCATCACTACAAACGGAAGAGGCCGTCCCTTTGTAGCCCACCTTGTGACCAGTTTAAGTGGAAATTATTGTCCAATTTTAGACGCAACTGTCAAGCAAGGCAAATGTATGCAAGCGCAAAGGTCACGTTTGAGGGTTTTTAAGAGATTCAAATTAGAGGATTATTTAGAGCCTACCTAATAGTTTGAGTTTTAACCCCACTGAGGGCTGTTCTTTGATCGCGTCGGCAAGTGACACTCCCTTAAGCGTCGTTTCAGCGATTCTGCATCCATCCTCATAATAATGGAGATCTAGAAAAGAAATCTCTCTAGCGCCATTTATACTCATTTGCGGGTCCTCATTAATTTCGCAGCACAGTAAGAACGCCATGATAAATGTTTGCCCTAGGTTTATTTTGCATTCTGAAAGGCAAGTGACTATGCTCTGCTATAAAATAATGTTACTGAGTTGGGTTGCTAAAGCTCTTGCACCCTGACTCATTCAGACATAATTAAATAGTAGCAAAAAATGGTTTAACTTATTTTAAGGTCTATTTAATACCTGCTACACCTCAAAAGCGTTGCAATCTACTGGGTACACCTTTATGAGTAGTGCAATGATAAAGTAAAACACTGGAAAAGCCGTTTTCAAACCGCTTTGGGGCGGAAATGGTTGAAAAAGAGTTGGAAATTTAGTAGGTGTATACAAAATTTAATACTCAGATGATTAGCTGGCTGATTTCCTTTTTTCTTTAACTTAAAATCGGTTCAGGCAAAGTCAGTTTTGCATGTCAGATGGGGTTTTATGAGGCTAAGGGGGAAATTAACAGGGTGATTCCATCAGTCGGAAGCCATAAAGTAAAGGAAGATTCACCTAAATACACTACTACCACACTGTCTGAAGGAGATAAGACATTTCCATTATCTTTATAGGTGACAGCGAAGGTTCACAACTGCAAGTGGACTCGATTACTCAAACCGTGAGGTCAGCGCTCTATCAAAGCTTCTTCCCGCGGGATGACTCGGGGCATTCAACGGCGGATGCAGAAAGGGTAGATAGATAGGACCATCTTTGTTCTTTTTCCGGTTATTCCTTATTACTTAAGTCAGTGATAACTATTTAATCCACTCTAAATATACTAGGGATGCTTATATCATCAAAAGAGGGTAGAATCAAAGGCCTTTTTCTTTGTAATTTTGTCTGTTTGTTTACTGTGGACGGTTTGATGACGTAATTTCCTCAGAAAAGTCCGGTTAGAGCAGATTTTGTCTCCATTATGGCGACGGGTATGATTAAAACCGATTCTTTGTGATTGCGATTTCTCCACCTTTCTTTACAAGGACAGAAACACATATTTTCTCGGGTGTTGAAATTACCATTACAGTTAGGATTTTAAAATCACAGTTAGAACAAAGCTTGGTAATTCTGGGTGGTAAAAAGTTGGCAATTTTTAATTTTTTGCAAGTGATGACTCTCTTAAAGTTAGAAGATGATGCCTCGATATTAAATAACTTTCGTTTCTAATAGACATTTGAACAAAAGGTGTAGTTTGAGCAAAGCGGAGAGAGAGAGGGCATTTGCCTTTCCGCTTGAGCTCCCTCTAATCGGACTATATGGTATTCCCATCGGTTACAATGGTGGAGGCGGCAGTGAAGCGCTTTTTCGTCTCCAGACCATAAGAAAATAGACCACCAGTCTAGATTACTCATAATATGCAAAGGAAGCTACACAAAATAAAACTAGGACAAGTTTTCTCTTATCTTCAGGCATCGGGAGGGATATTTAAGGAGGAAGTTTTCCCACTTTAATGACTGCAAATATGAAGAGCACGGTTCCAGTCATTCACCACTTCTAACTAATGAAGAACCTTCAAGTTAATTTGTGTGAGGCTATTACTTGGCAGAATAACTTTATCAGAGTTTGGGTCCAAATTATCGTAGTAGAAGTAGAGAGCACGATGTTGGATGCAATGCTCCGTTACTAGTGTTTTGGCTTACGATAGCGGATGTGGCGCAGATTGCGCGGACACAAACCAAAGCAGCTGCAGGCGAAAGTGTGGTCAAGTATAGAGTGGACATAAAACTTGAATAAAATTGCTGATCTGTTTCATTAATAGACTCTACAGATTCATCCATAATTGTCCAGGAAATGAAGCATGAGCGAAAGACATCACCTCAAAACGCAGATGGTAAATGGTTGATGACTAAGTCCACTAGAGGAAAGTAGACTCACTTCAGGGTCGCTCATGTGGAGAAATGGCTAACTGGGCAAGAATAATTGATGCTTACTCTCTTGACACCACATACACGAGGTAAGGTGAGATGATTTTAGAGAGAAGTTTCAGCGGTTACTGTGTACAAAGTGATCATCAATTTATTTCAAAGCATTAATTTTGGAGTTACTGAGTCAACAGTCCGCTAATATATTGCCTATACTTCTGGCACTCTCTCCCAGTAATTATAAATGTGCGTTATAAAGGGATTTATGCTTACAAACACCCTTCAATAAAAGTCGGTTTTTAGCTTTGTCTACTACTTGTTAAAACCCTCCCTTTTGCAGTAATTTTTCTCAATTGGTTCCTTTGGGTTTTGCGTGCAAAGTTAACTCTGTGCTAATATGGTGTCTGCAAAAGCTAATTTTATGAAGCTCTCCTGTCTAGGATATGTTTTAAATTACGTGCAGAAGTTGAGTCATTAGGTTTAATTTCAGATAGCCTACTTTCTTCTCTACTTTTCATCCCAGAAATGGTCTGTTAATAGCGCCTTATTCAATTACAAATAGCGTCTCGAACACTGCTATTTTTGCCCTTTTATTTCAGTAACAAAACAAGTGAGCTGCTTTTGCACCCTCTGACAAAGGAGGCTTTTCCTCTGACCTTACCAATCAGTAGTAAGTCAACAACCACCTTAAAGGGGGTAAAATGCCAATGGAAGATATTGTAGCCCCCTAAGTCTTTCCTGAAGACTAATAAAAGCTTAATACCAAGGCAGGATATATATTATAAGCATAAGGAAGGGCTGAGGGCTGCTGGTATAGCCTGGAATCCATGCAGCCCAGCCGAAGTACAATGACCATGCCCTGCAGTGCTCGCGAAACCAAAAAGGAGCTAAACAAAAAATCATCGTATCGTATTGTCTCTCCCTCTTTTTGGACATCGTCCCCGTGCTTCTCTTGGTCAATCCCTCACGTCGGCCATCACAACGTAGTCGATGCCGAAAGGAAAAGCACTTACGAACCAACTGCGTAAGTTATCAAATTTGCGTGCAACTGAAAAGAAATCTGACTGCAATCTCACTGATTTCTCTTGACAAATCTACTGGATCTAAAGTTCCGTCCTATTTAAGAGCCGTATTTGAGGAAGAGCATTGCAATGGCCATCATCTATATCCATCGCTTGTCGTCAGAGCTTATGGTGGCTTTGTTAGGATAGTGCTTCGCGTCAAAAGTTTCTTGTTACTTTTCTCACTTCAGTGCTGGGTTCTATCCAGCTAGTGGAATGGTAGGAGAAATATCACGTAATGATCTAATTGATATCTTCATGCAGGAACAGCAGACAGCTCCTTAATAAACTCTTCCAGATGGTTCACGGCTAGTGCTGCTTCCGTTGTGATAGCTTTCCTGCAGATCACAAGACCAGTGTAGTAACGAGAGGTAGTCGCCATTTTCGGCCCTTCCCTTATGGGTCGTCACAGATTCTTCCATCCTTAGCATATACATCACTTCCGCCCCATTAAGATTTAATATTCAGGAATGAAAATCAGGAGAGCTGTTCTTTAGGGTCGGATTCGCTTTCTACTGCCACTTTCCTGAAGAAAAAGCAGTATTAACATTAGGGCAGAATATGCATTGCCGAAGTGCAGAAGCGTTGAGGGCTGCTGGCATGGCCAAGAGGCCTTTGGTGTACTCGAATTTAAAGCAAATAGTTAAACAAACAACTACATTATTGCAATGTCCTATTTAAAAGCAACTTTTAATCTCATCTTTAAAGTAGGATGATGTCTGAAAATGTCACAGAAACTAATTTTCAGCTATCCATATGTATCTTTAATCAATTTAATAGCTACACCTTTGCTCAGGATATTTTTACCAGATACAAAATAACTCACAGGAATCTGGTAATTTCTATCCATGTCTTTTTAAACACGATTTTTCCTCCTCCTTCTCCTCCTCCTTGTTCCTCCTGAAGTACTACGTTTCTCCGGGAAATGGTAAATATTTGCAGTAAGAGAGTTATATAAATTTTCATCGTGTCTATCTTCATCAAAGCACAACTACAGCGCAAATATCTTTCATATGATGCTGCGCTGTCTCCGAATTTTGCATTAGTGATTATAATTGCTTCTTGGTGAAAACAATCAGACCCTTCAGTATTCTATCAGTGAAGGAACGAAAGCGCGTTTTGTATTTAAGTTTTAAGGCTAAATTTTACATGAGACTTTACTAGCCAGTGCAACAGTGAGGTAAACCCATCGTTCTTTAGTTTCTGTTGACGTGTAAAGGTGACATTAATAGAAGATGAGCGGAAGTAATCTCTTAAAGCAACTTCAAGGGTACCCAGGATTCAAATTTATAAAACACTTTAATTATCTTTTCTGTAAAAGCTCTGCTGTTTCCTCTCCCAAATAATACTGAGGCGTCTAAAGTAACACCTCTAAAATGGCCTTAACTTTTTTAAAATTATCATACTTGCTCTTTTGAATTAGCTTAATGAAACCATTCATTTTGACGTTTTAGGAGGCACTAAGTCGGCTAATACAACAGCGCGCCTTTCTGCGATATATGAATCGAACGGCTTTTGAAAAGGTAGTTCAACTGGCACGCGACCTAACGAGCATCCACGTAGCGGCTGGTTTCATCGCTGACCTAATTCGGCAGGCGACGCACGCACTGAAAGTGGAGACGACGATTGTGCCGCAACAGAGTGGCTGTAGTGCTGACCTCCATCGCATTGCCTCGCGACTCCTCGTAGACTTCCTGGAGGCACAGGAACGCTGGTCCGACTTCTCCCCCGCCTCCGCTTCCTCGTCCCTCTTTACCTCAGGCCTTGTGATTGATAGTGCTCCGCTAGTCAACACCTCTGTCAACGCAGATGTCGAACTGCGTCTTGTGGAGTGCTTCTTCGCTGCTCAGAGCATCGGCACACGACTACAGTCACATCTTCGTGACCTCATTCAAAGCGTGAGTTATCTGCTGCTTAAAAACGAATAATAGTTGAACTTGTATTTACAAGGTTCGTTCAAGTCGTACCCTGACCCTAGCCCAAACGGAATAAGGGGGAAACAGGAATGAGGGGCAGTCGTTAGTAAAGTCCGAATCAACTTTATATCCCAAAAAAAGGGAGTTTCAAAATATGCAGTAAAAGCTGGCTGGAGTTTACTTCACTAGAATGGTAGAAACTAAAATTTTCAACAGCGTTAAATCAGCAACATGGCCACCGTAATGAGTCCAAATTAAACCCTTAATGGAATCACGATGGGGAAGAGGTGGATAATCTTGCAAAAAGCCCTCTACATTTATTTTTTTGGAGGCATAAAAACTTAAATTAACACTGTGGATATAAACAAAGTATTTTATAGTCTCCTTCTTACCTTCTCTCGAGGTTTCTTTACCTTCTTGATGTTCAAATGCATTCGTTGCTAAGCCCACCGCATTCTATAGTAGTCGGAGCTGCAGGTAAAAATTGGTACAAAATTTGGCGAATTTCTTCATGCGAACAGGTTGATCATTGGTGGAAAATACAACAACCCAGGTGGGTCTTGATGACTTATTTTAAAAATACCCAAGTGTACCCCAAATTCTACATGAATAGGTCAGTGAGGAGCTTTTATTGCTTATTTACAAGGTAGTATAAAGTATATTTGTGACAATTATTAATCCTTTCACTTTACAAATATTGAGGCAATTTTTAGCAAAGCCTACTAAAATTAGTGTTTGCAAGGGAATGTTGAAGCCTTATTTCCAGGCATCGTCAGAGAGATGACGAGGCTATGCAATGGATGGACCCTAGCAGAGAAAATAGACCAGCATTGGTTAAATGACCTCATGGTTGACAGCAGCTATAGTTCAAGTTCCCCTATCAGAGGTTTGAAGACTAGTCGTATAGAATAAGTTAGAAGCAACTCAAATTTGTTGATGTGACGCGAAAGAATAGTAACCTATTTTTGAATGCAGAAAACAGCAATAAGTTATAGTTTAAAAGAAATCCCGTTTTTCCTCTCCAAAACACCTCCCGCTATTTCAATGCATTATTTACTGCGCATTTATTATGGCCCTAGCATTTAGAGAGGTGCTACACCACCTTTTACTATTCTCTTTGATGGTTCAAAAGCCTCTGAGAGGGACAAAGATGATAACTCTCAGTTACTAACCCCTTATCTCACTGTCGAGGGTGTAATAGCTGCGTAGGCATGTCTCCATCTACGGGCGAGTGTTGATGTGTGGTTTCGTAGGTGTACTTGGGTGTGAAAAAATTAAGCTGCTTTGAAGGGGGAAAGATTAAAGGACGATGTTGGTGGCGGCGACAGCAATGAAAACCGTCGTTTAGTCGCGTGGCTTTTTGGAGCATTTTGGCAGAAAGAGAAGAGCATTGAGCATTGACAAAGCCACTTAGGTTGCAGGGTAAGGGATTTTAGCTTTAAAACACCCCATTCACCCCCCTATTTGAGCACCGCGTTCCACCTTTGTTCAATTTGGACGGAAAAATAGACTGCTCACGATGTTGGTTTGGTGGTCGAAGAATTTCACTGTTGTTTAATGACATGTATTTTGTGTCATAAAGTGGCGCACTCATTTTACTTTGCGATATTTTTTTTGAAATTACACTAAGAAAACAAAGTACCAAATCACGCTATTTTTAAAGCACTCATTATTGAAGTCACGGCTGTTTGAGTACCATGATAACCTCATCTTCCGCATTTCTGTTGATTTAGTTGCATTTGGCTCTTCTCTGCGCAAATTCGGAACACCGTATTATTGAGAGAGAGGCTCTTAAGCTCACCTGCAGGGGAGTCAAATTTCCTGAAGTTGTACAGCCAAATCGTCTCCTGAATAGGAGATCTGATGTCATAGCTCGGGATCTTAGACTGGAAAGTAACTTAAGCAACTATAGTAGAGAATGCTCATGGGACAATCTAAAACTGGAATAGCAATTACCTGATTTTTTTGTTTCTAGCCGAATTAAGAAAACTACGAAAACAAACCTTTATAAACCCATAATTTTAGTCAAGGAAAATATTGGATGTTGAAAGTCGTTAAAATTGTTTCCAAACGCAAATGCCATCCTGTAATTATTTGTACCACCCAGGACGATTGTGTTCACATTTTGCCTGTACTGACAAAAAGGGAAGTTGAACCCTCTGAATAAAAGTGTGATATTTATAAGGAAATCGCAAAAAACGATGCTTACAAATCAAAGACTTCCGGATTTGCAATAATATTTACTTAAAAGTGGAAGCAACTTCATTTAAATGGCACTTCACGTCATGTTTAATGCCACTGTAGCAGGATATGGCCAAAAAGTTAAATAGCGTAAAAAATTTACCTGACTAATATGGCATTCGTTTCCGTTCCATATTCTGGTATTTGGTCGGAGGTTAAGATGGTAATAATGTAATTTTAATTTTTTTTCGTCTGCCTAAAGAACAAATCACTATAATAAAGGCACAACAATTGAGGTCAAGATCTGTAAATTGGGCAGGCTCAAAGGCCACCAGTAATCCCCACCATATCTGATTCCGCGGTAAGACTCAGGATACAGAGGTGACTCCGTAATTATATCTTGTTAACATTTGGTGTCCATCAATCACTGCTCGATAGACTACCTCTATAAGAAATGGAGCAAAGCTACGTTTTTTGTGCCTTCAGGAAGACACAAGTAAAAATGTCTTTGCATCGAAGGTAAGGAAGATACAATCCACGCATGGCTTTGAATGGGAGAGCCTTTTGATCCCCTAATCAGCAGAGAAATAAAGTTAGTTGAGTCTACCACCGATGAAGTCTTACCATTTTTGGGTAGATTTCCGAAGTCTTAGGCTCAAGGGTTCGCACCACGACATAGCTTGGTGCCGAAATGTAAGTGATTTTGGAGGTGGTCTGGTGTACTGAATTGGAGTCCAAGATGTGCATTTAGCAACTTTTCCTCAATATACTTGTTCCCACGGGTCATTGGGTGTTACTCCTACAAGTATCTTATTTTCACACCAGATAAGCAATGGTCGAGATGTTCTCAGTTGTTAACCATCTTATTATCCCACTTATGCATCCTGTCATTTGTTTGCCTAAAAAAGAGCCACCAATGACGATAAGTTTGCTGTGAGAAGGCTTAAACAGCGGTAATAAACTTTCCACAAATGGTTTACAGACATTTTTTTGCTATTTCCTTCACAAAAACTATTTTAATTTGCCGTGATGTGTCGCATTGTGTAGAATTCGAGCCACCAGATGCTCCATAATTCTTCACGGAAAAAGCCAAGCCTAAAATTTTTGAATTATGCTGTGGCTGTTTAGCGTTAAAGATCAAGTTAACTGCAAAACATTATAAATTAATAAGGCATTGGGCCATTAATATGATTCGCAGCATTTCGTGTGATTAACATCTTGCAGTCGGCATCGACACGTGTAGACTGAAATTACTACCTATTACGACGTAATTTTAAAATCATTTGCTTGAAAATACAGATTTATATAGGACCTCATCATACAGTTGGACGAGGACTTTTCCAGAATTTTAAGCTTGATTTAGGTGGATGATAGTGAATTTGAAAGTTTGCTGGAAGGAAGAGCAAGTAAGGAGTAGCTTTGACAAGTCGATGCATGTGTAAAAACGTAGAAGCCATTTAGTTTGATAGTTCTAACATTTGGCAATAAGCTGAAATCCCTTGAGGTTACAGCATGCAAGTGAACCCTGTGTACACTGCCTAGCATTGCACTGTACTACTGAGATTCATTCTAACAGTCCAAATCCTTTGATCAAAAGGCACGGCAAAGTGCCGGGGCGGAGTCTAAAACCGAATTAGAGTCCCTCCATTACATCATCTGCCCTAAAGCCAGAAATTGGGGTTGAAAAAACCATAAAATTAGTTTTATTGTGAATTACAAGTCAGAGTCATAAAAGCAAGAATTTGGAAATGCTCGCATCTCGTAGCTTAGATGCAGGCAATACCCAGTCCCAGTTTGCGTATCTTGAAACTTTGGTCATGTATTTTATCCTCATGGATATCTAACAGTAAACGGCCTTATGAACTAAAGTCATGAGTCTTTTCGTAGGCAAACAACCCCTGTTTGTTTGAGTTACATACCGGAAAGGTCAAATTGTAGGCCACAAGAATTTTATCCTTGTTTGTTAGCCTCATATATCAACGCTACGTCCAAAAACTGTGCTCAAATCAGAACTAAAGCAATATTTTTGACACCGAAATATAGGTGGAAATGATAAAGTGAACCCTAAGTGTGTAGAGACCCAAATCTCAACTTCACAAGAAGTATATTACGCAAGATAAAGTCATCAAAAATTGACAACTTTCTCTCATTAGTATGTGACAAAATTGTCTAAAAGTCTAAGTCACAACATTGGGATGAACTTAAATGCAGTAATCAAAGCCTCTTGGACATAAAATTTCCGATATATTTATAAGGACTTTTCTTATTATGAAGTTGGCAGTTAAATAAAGGCTAAATGAGACAACTGCCACCCATAATAAGCGTCGGAGTGAAGAAGTCTAATCATGAGTGTTTTTGTAAATGAGTAAAATAATTTAGTTTTGAGTTAGCCATATTTAAAGTAAAATTTTGGCCCAAAATACACTAATATGAGATCAGACATTTATCTGTACGATCGTATACTAAATTATTCGGTTTTTTACACTCAGGTGGTAAAGGAGATTGAGATTTTTACATCTTCGGTATTAAGTAAAGAGACAAATCACTGTGGATCAGTTCAATTGTGAAGAAAAGGCAACTTTGACCCAATAATGTTTGGTTATAACGCACCTTACTTCTATACCACGCTGCAAAGGGTAAAACAGCCCTGGGTAGATCAAAACCTACTACTTACAGGTGTGGATCTGATCGTCATTTGGATGCCATATAGTGCCTTTTAAACTTTACTAATGCATAATTCACTAGCAGAATATGTAATTTCGAAGTAGAGAAGGGTCGGAGGTCTACTAGCGTGGCTTAGAGGTCATACCGTCCAAAGGAAGTACAGAAGTGGAGACCTAAGTTCTTACGATACTAAAGCGAAGATTTAGACAAATAATCAAATAATTACCTGGCCTCCCTCCGCTTCCCTTTCCCCAGTCAACCTCCAACGACCGCCATCAAAAGGCAGTCGGTGCTGTAGGGAAAGCATCAACTTATCAATGTGTCAGTAATCGAGCTGGCACACAAAAAAGCAAATATTTGACCGCAGCGTCGTTGACCTCTCCCGGCAATTCTACCAGATCTGAAGTTTGGTCCGTTTTGAAAACTGTATTCGGAAAAGAAAAATGTGCAGGCCCTCGTGTATTTTCGTAGCTAGTGGTAAGAACACAGGCCCAAAAGCAGTTATTTAATAAGCAAAGGAGATTTTAAGCCGTTTCTTGAGGATAGAGTTTTTATCTATTCCACTCTGCCACTTTATTACTACTTTAGTGCTGTATAGCCTAACCTATCTGGGTTCTATTCAGCTAGAATGGAAGTGGAGAAAGCTAAACGCGTTCGTTTACCATCTTCATACAAGTACCGCAGACAGCTCCGTAACGAGCTTTTCTAGGTGTTTTAGTGCCTGTGTCGCTTCAGTTGTCAATGTCATTCTTGCAGAATACGGGGCTATGGTTGTTCTCAAAGGTAGATGTCATTTTTGGCCCTTCTGTTAGTATTCGTCACAGATACTTTAATCCGAAGTATATGCACTTCTTCCATCACACTCAGTTGTGGAAAACGGGATAAATGTCAATTTGGGTGGGGTTTGCTTTTCACTGCCACAAAGATATCGCCCCAAAACTTCTCTGAAGATGAGAAAAGACATATTGCTGAGACCGAGTGCATACTACCTACGTAGAGAAGGTCTAAAGGCTACTGCCATGACCCGTCCAGCAAAAGTACAGAAGTGGGGCTTCAGGTGCCCCTAAAACCAAAACGAAGAGTTAAGCATAACAATCAAAGTCTGGAAGCTACTTACATAAAACTGGTAAGAAGAAAAAATTAAAGTCTATTTACTAATTATTCACGTAGGACTCTGCAGCAAAACTAGCAGCGGATCTGCTACATTGGGAGGCAAAGGTCACCAGAAGATGGTCTTAAATTTTGCCACAACTATAAACAAATTATTGCATTTTAATACTCTACAGATAGCTCTTTATTCTATTCATTTTAAAACAGTCTTTGAAAATTAAATTTGCGGGTTTTTGAGGAAATTCGCATAGTTCCTGGAAAGTTTTGAGATCAACCTATGATGGGCTGTCAGGAATGACTTACCAACTTTCAAACATTAGCATTGGAGCTTCTCAGCGATTGTTAAAATAAGTACTTTCCTTGTTTCTCAAGATCAAAATTTAAGACAGGAGAATCCTTTCACATAACCGCACCAACGATTTTCCCCTGTATAACATTAATTTTCTTCTGACCTTCAAAACAGCCTTGTCATCCCGCATACCAGAGCCGACATTTCTTCGAAAATTGTTGAATTAATTACTCAATTAGTTTATTTGAGACATAGAGTAAATATTGGCTGCTTATTTATTATACTCACATAGCTGTTAGAGATATTCGCTCCTCGTGGCCTAAATCCGGATCCACCGGGTAGTGACCGCACATCCAACTCGCCAGCATCGCCTCTGCTGTCGAGTCGTGAGGTGTTTCAGCCTCTGTCGGTGAGCGAGTTGCTGACAACAGGGAACGTGACGGTGTGCCGGCGCGTGCAGAGTGTCTACCGAGCGCGGACCACCCTGCTGGGTGAACGCGCCTCCGCGGTGGTCGCACTCATCGACCGCCTTAACGCCCGACTGCACACGCTCACTGCGGAGAACCGCGAGACGCGCGCCCATTTCTCACTCTCACAGTCGGCAAGACACAACGCGCCATACCCGGTGGCGAGGTTAGTGGTAATGTTGGTGGCGATAAAAACACTTGAATCATCACATTGGAAATAATCGGACGATAAAATTCTGATTATAACCCGGAACTGGTACGCAATAAAGCGGAATATTCAATAATGAAAGGCTAACCCACCCAAATGCCTGTTATTGAAAAACTCCACCCAATGAAAGTTCAACCGGGTCTATTACTTCTTAAACTCTACTTTATCATAATACAAAAACATTTGCAAAGAAAAATCTAACTGAAAGCAACAGATTGCACCATTAACTGCTCAGCCCAGAGTTAAAAACGGAGGTATAAGGATGGTATTAATGTCATGCTATCTAGGAACGAATTCTTAATGCCTGATCCTTAAATCCGTAAAATCCAACTCCTGAACAGCATTTAGGGGACCTGAGGGCAATTTACACCAGCTACTAAATTTGCTTTGTAACTTGAATTTGAGTCAGCCATGAAAACAAGTTTATCATCTTTGAAAGGGTCCGTTTATGTAAATAGGGTGATTTTCAAATAAGAATGTAATTACAGCATGAGTTTGAAAACTTCAAAGTATTTTAGAAGCCACAAGCCTTAAACAACGGGATTGTGCAAAATCGCTTTTAAACTGATAAGATTTAACCAATGCTACAATAAGAAGTGGGCAACGGAGGACACTATCTATGAAGAAATTTTATTTCTGTAGATTCATTTGAGCTGTGATCCATCAAATGAAACAATAATGAGGATTTCTACAAAACAAATTTAAAGCCCTTTTCCTGAATTAAGCGAATTTTGACACCCTTTGACAACACTTAAAGTAAAAACATACTACACTTGAGTTTACGCAGAGTGATGCGATAAAAAATTAGAAACAGCAGATTCGTCTTCCGGAAAGGGCCTCTTAACACAGGCCTGCATCAGTGAAGCAGCAATCAACCCTCCTTAATGTCGAAGTCTGTCAGAAGTGGAATGGAAATTTCGTATCACCGAAACAGTCTTTGATTACATGCCAATGTATTGGCTATGAGGCGTAAATGGAAGATTTCTTGACTAGCCTGTAGATTTTTTTTAATCCAAAGTAATACGAGTTTCGAGAAGTGCATGTAAAAATTTTTTTCTTAAAGTTTAGAACAATAGTTTCCTACGACGGGCTTGCGCATATCCTGAAAACTGTAGGAAAAAATTCTCTAATTACGAAAGATCAAGAGGCTAAATGCGGGCGCTTCTAAACTGAATAGCCTGCAACATAAATGTTTCGGAATGAAGCGTCCTATTTATTCAAGTGATGGAAGATGAATATGCAAGACAAGATTGTAAGCGTTTCAGCACTTTTCCTAGCCACCGTAATGGAACATCACTGAAAAGGCCAAATAACCACTATGGACTTCTAAACTTGAAGCAGCAAGGAGAAATCTGTGTCTCACCAGGTAGCAACGAGTATATTTACTACCGACTGGTTCTGATGCCTTGTTGTCAGGCTTGACACAGGAAATATCCCTGTAGTAAGCCAATGCTTACAGTTTTTTGTATCAAGCAGGATAAGAGAGCCTTTATGCTCGAAGACCACTTCAAACAACTGTGTAATGGGAGAAAAAAGTGTTCCTTATAATGGGAAAAATGTGTACTCTTTTCCCATTTCAGATATGTGTCCGCGTCAATTTCAGTGAAAGAACAGGAACGATCAACTTCTTGCTTCACCCTCTATTCGCGTCCATTCAATCGCTTCGGTAAATAAAATTATTTCATTGTTTCAACTTGTTTTAGTAGATGTAAACAACCAAAAGACCTTATTAACATCTGAAAACTATTGATTTGAGGGCAGAAAACAACATTTTGCAACAAGTATACATAGAGGCCAAATGCACATTTAAATAAGACCAAAAGGTCGCAATGACCAACTCGAGAGTCGCAGAATCAAGCCAATTCATAACCTTTATTACCTGACAGATCACATTTATTTCAATCTTGACTGAAGCTTTATTGGTGCAGATACCCGTCAGTGAACCCCTTATCCATCCTCAGCCTTTTATTATAAAGAATGCTTAAAGTTAAGCTGTTTATAGCGCTTACGTCACTTTGGAAAAAGTTGTCCCCTTAAGAAGTAAATCTAGTCTGTAGCAATTGGCTGGGAATCGATACGTCTGTGCTTAAGAAGAGGGAGGTTTTTGAGGATCACGAAGGAGAAAAGTAATAGGAAATCTTTTCAACTGCCATTTGTAGATCATCTAATCGGAATCTTGTCAAGCACAGTAAGCTTATGGCTCACCCTCATTTTGGTGATTGAACTGCATCGTAAGAATTTTCGTGAACGAAGAACACAACTGCTTCGGCTGCATCATCTACCGCTAAATGTCGGTGCTGCTACTGCAGCCACATCGGCCACCAGCGTCCATGAGAATAACGCCAATCCGCTTTCCACAGAGATCTACGACCACTGCAACCTTGTGGAGTCGCAATCGATCCCACCGAAACTGATCCAAATAAAGGAAGGAGGTATGTAGGTGTCAAAGCTTCTGTTATACTCTGTTTCCACCTAAAGGGCCATTCGATGTTCTTCCATTCTGTTTAAGGCATAAGTAAGTGGTAATACATTTTCTAATTTTAGTGACAATAAGATGTATTAAATGACAAAGCTCGGGAATCGGCATTTCAGTTATTTAAAAGAAGAGAGATCATTCATAAATGCCCACTTATAAAGAGAATCAAAGTAGTGGATTTAATGGATGTATTTTCAAAAAATTCTATTTAAAAGGGAAGCGATTTCATCAAATAGAGACAATCTGTAAAGCAATGAATGAATAAACTCTAAAACAAAAAGTTTGAGAGTGCCATCGAATTACCTAAAATGACAAATTCATCCTGTCAAATCATTAAGCTTATGACAAGATCACAAAGCCATGGAAAATGATTTGCTGCTTCTGTGATTTAATGCCCACCAAAATCGAACTCACAAGTGAAAAAGACAAAAAATCTCCACTCCGTAGTCTTTTGGAACGCTTGTTGACTTTGCACATAAATTTGTAGCTAAGGGAATCACATTGTTGGCTCCGTTAGGGCACATCTTAAAAACTCGTTGGTAATAGAACGTCCTCAATTACAACTTTGAAGATTTTCTTTTAACAATGAAATTTCAATTAACTACATCCTTTTTGCATTCTAGATAATGAGAATTCTTATTTTTGTCAGTAATTTGACATTTTGATTTCATGTCAATGGCTCATCATGATAAGAAAGCCTCCCACTGGATGTAGCATTGGTGGACTTAATAGTCTTGCTAGTCAACGTCAAGCACTCCCACAATTCAATGCATGCCCACCTCATGGTTTATTATTGTGAACTGCAAGGAAAAACAACTTATTAAATACACTGGTCTTGAGGCAAATATCGTCACTGTGCAGACCTATTAATTCTGGGACGTTTAAAGGGAAATAAAAGCCTTTTTTTGCTGTGACCCGTCTCGTAGTGTGGATTATTAAATGGCGACTGAGGTGGCTATTTATAAGGATGGAAAGCTCATTACTTGTACCATCAAAATGGCACAACTTTAGCAGATGCCAGAGGATAGGGGAGATTGCAGCTGGCCGTTTGATGAATGCGCATTTTACTGATTATTTCAGGTCTGGAAAATCAGATCTCCAACTTCCACTTGCAACCCTTACATGAAGTGGAAGCAGCTATCCCTTCAAGTGCTTAGGTTGGCGAGAGAGTAGATGGTGATGAAACCCAGTTTTGTCACTGAAATGGAATGGTTTGTAAAGCCTTTGATGGGAATACCCAAATTTGCTAGTGCAAATCTCAATCCCACTTATACTTTAAAGCTTTGAAAATTTATTGAAGAGTGCATTTCTACTTGTACAATAAGATGAATGGGAGAATAACCTCACGATTCCCACTGCATAATCTGGTTGCAATTTGCTCGTGTGTATGGTACTCAAGCTATCTTGGAAGACATAAATAGACACGGAGAGGAGGGAGGAGACTAGACGAAGAATGGTTGATAAAAGAGAGCTGAAGACTGACTCGTGTTCAAGTGAACAAGTCTGGATAACCGTGAATCGCAGTTTGTTATATAACGTTGAGTGATCAGCTTTATGTGATGCTCAGATCCACCGGAAATGTGGTTGACGGTGCCAACGTCGATGTTGGAGATGACGACCCACTTGCTTCCAACACATAGGATGCCACCGACCATTCTTTACAAGCGCCAGACCTCGCAGAAGCCCTCGAAGACAACGCGCAGCCATGTGGAGCTACTTGAACCTTCTGCCTCCGCCTCCTCCTCCACACAGACTGTCATTTTGGACAACCTTCAGAATAGATTTTGAAGTTATTCCCTCGTATTTGTAAATAAAAAAGAAAAAAATGTACTCACGTTGAACATTTTTGATGACTTATGCAAAGCAGCTAGCAGGAAGGCCTAGTCAACATTAGGTCTTTTAGGAGGAAATTCTTAGCCTTTTTGGTCTGAAATATCCCAGTAGATCGGAAAAGGGAGGAAAGGTGAGTAAAAAGTTTTGATGCCTTACTGGCGTTACCATTGTAGAACCCAGAGACTTTCCTGCAGACGAATGAAGGCATACTGATCAGACATAATATGTGCTGCCGAGGCAGAGAAGAACTGGGTGCTGATGACACGGTCCGAAGGTCAGGCCGCGCGGCAGAGGTACAATGACCAGCCTCCAATGTGGTCCGTTACCATAACCGAGAGCTAAACAACCAATTAACATAGTGCAGTGTAATGAATCGAGTTACCTAAGGAACATAGCTGCCAAACATTAGCCTATTACCTTTATTTTTTTTGGAATGACACCTTGCGTGAAAACATGCTACTATCAACTTATGTGTTGTCTAGAGTGGAAGAGTTTTCACTTGTGCTCCACTTTTGTTCGAAGTCACAGCTATCAAAATGCAACTTCTTCAACTGTCAATTAATGTCTTGATAGGACCTTAAAACCACTTTTTGCATCGCTTTTGATTCGCCACAGAACTGACAGTATGAAATAATGTAAAGTTCATGTAATACTGCGATCTCAACAAAAAGTCGTCCAAAACGGACAAGTCATCCATTGATTAAGGTGAATACTATAAAATACCAAAATGGGACCGGTAAGCGCGATATTTATGAACACAATTAATCAAGTACTTGTTACTTGAGGGTCTGATACAAGAATCTCTGCGTTTATTTTCTGTTATAACAAATACCCACCTCGATGGAGTTGAAAATGTTTGGTGGAATGTGAAGTAACATTGACTTTACGAAAAGGTGTGATGACCACGTAGGCTCGCTCCAGCAAAACTTCGCATTCGACCTGCTTTAATGCTTTAGAACAATTAAAGTGGCAACGCCGACTTCTAAAAAGCATTCCCGTGTTTTAAGTGTGCACATCAAAACAAAAAAATTACCTAAATTTGTGTAAAATCTAAGAACGGGATTCCTATGTCTGGAAATCCCTCTCCCGTTCCGCAGCCAGGAATCCGCATGACAAAGCCGTAAAATATCTTATAATCAAAATTTCTGCTGAATTTTACCTACCTGTTCAATTAGGCATCAGAAAGGAATTTCGCACCAAAGTTAAGCTTCATTAAAATAAATGCATTGGAGGGTAGTACAGTCAATCCTGGAATTTTGATACCTTGAACAATGGAATTTGGTTTTTCCCTGTCTTATTGACTGTGTCCTACTTATTTGTAGATATGCTTTCTGCATTGTAATCAGGACGCTGCATCTTGCACGGCTACTCCATTTGCGTCGACTGCACGTAGCAGAATAGTGCACCGGGAGTCATTGACATATGGATGACATCGTCACTGACAGGAGGAAAAAATGCACAAAGCACTTACATTCTTGCTTTAATAGCAAGACTCTTTCCTGAATGACGGTTTGCGAGTTTATATGCAGTCGTTTGAACAATGATACTACGTTTTAAAATATACTTGACAAATTAGGAATAAATAAGCCTTTACTTATTTCGAGCTCTTTTTTCTAGTACCTGGATTATTTGTTTAACTCTTCGTTATGGTCCGGTCCTATGTAATTTTGCTGGGCAACATGTTCTTTGCGCCTGTTTTTAGTCCCGCAGCCCTTCCACACTTCTACAAGACATTTTCTGCCCTAGTCTCATGAATTCTTTAGCCTTCAGAGAAGTCCGGCTGGCTCCATTGGTTGCAGCGGAAAGTGACCCCAACCCTAAGGGACATCTATCCTGAAATCTATCACTCTACGCTCAACCTCAGCTTGACAGAAAAGAACATGTGCCGAAAATGCGAAAAATCTTTGAGGATCCCCAACAATAGGGCCAAAAGTGATATCGGCATTCAGCAACTATATTAGTCCCGCGTTCTGCAAGAATGCCAACAGCAACCGAACTGACACCACTTGTGAACCATCTAATTAAGTTCATTACGTAGCCTCTGCGAAACCTGCTAGTGGATGTCAATTAAGTAAAACGTCATACCCCTCCACTTCTCTACTAAATGGATAGAACTCAGATGGATATGGCTAGGCAACGTTGAAGTGAGAAGAGTAGTGGCAAGGAGGAATAAACGCAAAGCCATATTAAATCCAATACTTTAGTAACAGATTCTGCTTTTAAACCGACGTCCTCCCTGCTAGCTATGGACACGTTTGATGGTCGGTACACTTGTTCCCTCCTCCAGAGATAGTCTCTAATCGGGAAGAAATACTAGATTTAGTAGAGCTGCCTAGAGGCTTCAGTGGTGTTGCGTTCAAATATCTCCTTACTTGCATACAAATTCAATGATCGGCATAATTATTCAATGAGTGTTTTGTTTGCAAGCCACCGACTACGTTGTAATGGAGGTTGACTTGGGGAGCTCCGGGAAAAAGCTCAAGTGGGGAGGAAGCTATGCAACAATTTCCTATCGGGAGGCATTGAAGGCGCCGCCAGGCGACCTGACCTCCTGGCTATGCAAGAAGATCCCAAGCCCTACTGTACGTAGATAAAACACAATCTGCTTTAGTATTTTGCAAGAAACAATACAAAACTCTAAAATCCTATAAAATTAAAAATTGGACTTGGTTTATCTTATTAGCAAGCAACAGCACAGAAGAAAGTGGGATGTAGGTGAGTTCGCAACTCAAGGCTCAGTTCGTTAGCAGAATAAATAGCCGATATCAAAGAATTCCATTTATGAGAAATTTGAAAACTTATTCCAAATTGATTGGATTTTTTCTTAAAATGGTAATAGGCTTCGATGGTGAAAGTATCCTCAACTACTATTAGTGTTGGTGATGGCTAGAACAAGCAGGATTCTCCCAAATACTTCCTCCGTTAAGTAGAGTAGCTAAGAAAAATGCATGTAGACCACCTAAGAAGAGGAAAAGTCAATGCTCTGAGCACACGGTGATTTAACTTGTAGAGTCATTTTTAAAAGGCATTCAAAAAGCTGCCTCTCTTGACATGAATTAATTATATCCGGCCTTTGGTCTCCCTTCTTCCTCCTCCTCCCATTAACATCCCAAAAATTGTGCGGTGTCCATTTGATTTTTATGGGAGCAGGGACAAGTCGCAACGAATAAGCTAGTAAGGGCAAGAACCATTTTTAATTGGTGTTATGGAAAATGAGTTTACTAGACTATGTAACCATAAATAAATATTTGCAGCTTTATGAATAGGAATTTTAAAAAACAGAACCTTTGAGTGAGGTAACCAGGTAACTGGGCTCTGTTTGCTGCAAAGCGTCACTGTTAAAACCCTGTAGGACATACCTTGGGCGTGGTTTTTTAGAAAAGCTACAAACCTAACGGTTAAAAACCAGTTTTTAAGAACAAAAATCCGATTTTATTTAAACAAGTGGGTGGGAGGTGAGCACTATTAATAGCATAATAAGTTTAAAAGAGCTGATATTGATAAATGGAACTATATACGAGAGCGCTAGAGTCCAACAGAGATTTTTGGGATAAAAGGGGAGAAATCACTCTTCTTTTCACTATAAATTCCTAACACATTATTGCGTTTATCTTAGCTGTTGTCCAGAAAAATCTAAAAGGTTCATTAGCATAAATGAATTACCCCAAGACAGTCTGTCCTCTCAGCACCTAGCATGCACTAGCTTTTAAAACTGCAAGCCTCCTCTCACGATCATGTTTATTGTTCCTATAAAAGAAGTCGCCTTTTAAACTTTGCGACAACTTGTAGATTCTGCACCAACTCATGGACTTCCGACTTTCACAATACTAACAATTCACTGAACCGAATAACGCTCTGTGGGCTGCGGACCGCCACTACCGGAGGCTTCATTTGGGCACTTACAATCTTGCTGCTGAGATAACAAGAGTTACATAAACTCAGTATGCTTGAAAGTAAAAGTAGAGAAACAAAAAAATTACCTAAATTTGTGTAAAATCTAAGAACGGGATTCCTATGTCTGGAAATCCCTCTCCCGTTCCGCAGCCAGGAATCCGCATGACAAAGCCGTAAAATATCTTATAATCAAAATTTCTGCTGAATTTTACCTACCTGTTCAATTAGGCATCAGAAAGGAATTTCGCACCAAAGTTAAGCTTCATTAAAATAAATGCATTGGAGGGTAGTACAGTCAATCCTGGAATTTTGATACCTTGAACAATGGAATTTGGTTTTTCCCTGTCTTATTGACTGTGTCCTACTTATTTGTAGATATGCTTTCTGCATTGTAATCAGGACGCTGCATCTTGCACGGCTACTCCATTTGCGTCGACTGCACGTAGCAGAATAGTGCACCGGGAGTCATTGACATATGGATGACATCGTCACTGACAGGAGGAAAAAATGCACAAAGCACTTACATTCTTGCTTTAATAGCAAGACTCTTTCCTGAATGACGGTTTGCGAGTTTATATGCAGTCGTTTGAACAATGATACTACGTTTTAAAATATACTTGACAAATTAGGAATAAATAAGCCTTTACTTATTTCGAGCTCTTTTTTCTAGTACCTGGATTATTTGTTTAACTCTTCGTTATGGTCCGGTCCTATGTAATTTTGCTGGGCAACATGTTCTTTGCGCCTGTTTTTAGTCCCGCAGCCCTTCCACACTTCTACAAGACATTTTCTGCCCTAGTCTCATGAATTCTTTAGCCTTCAGAGAAGTCCGGCTGGCTCCATTGGTTGCAGCGGAAAGTGACCCCAACCCTAAGGGACATCTATCCTGAAATCTATCACTCTACGCTCAACCTCAGCTTGACAGAAAAGAACATGTGCCGAAAATGCGAAAAATCTTTGAGGATCCCCAACAATAGGGCCAAAAGTGATATCGGCATTCAGCAACTATATTAGTCCCGCGTTCTGCAAGAATGCCAACAGCAACCGAACTGACACCACTT